GAGCGAGGGGCCTGCACTTTTGAAGGAGGAGGCGGTGCTGTAGCATTTGGACAGAGTGGTGTGAGCAACAGTAGGGCTATCAGGGCAGGCACACTGGATCCCTGCTCAGAAGGGCCACCAGCTCTGTGTGGTGCTGTCAGTACCACCCGGGGAATTCTTGGGGGTTTTATTTGGAATGTATTTTTATAAGTAGATGTTGGTATCCTATTATTTTTTACAGTTTTTCTTTTTCTTTCTTTCTTTCTTTTTTTTCTTTTTTTTTTTTTTAATTTTCCGGAGCTGAGGACCGAACCCAGGCCCTTGCGCTTGGTAGGCAAGTGCTCTACCACTGAGCTAAATCCCCATCCCCTACACTGTTTTTCAACAAGGGGCCAACATTGGCATTTTGTTCTGGGTGGTCCCAGCTACTGTTCTCTTTGTGCCTGTTATGTAGGGTGCCCCACCTGCCATCTCAGCAGGTGAGAGCTGTGGGTCCCAGGCACCGGTGCTTCCCTGTTCCTCCAGAACCTGGGTGGAGGCATCAGGTCCCAGGGCCAGGCATATGTGGAGGCTCGGTTGGTGAAGGGGCCTCTGAGGGCAACCTTGCCAACCTGAGTTTGGATCTATGGCTCCCACACAGAAGCTGGGCAGAACAGCACACATCTGTAAGGCTGGAGCTGACAGAGCAGAGGCAGCTGGAGCCTTGAAGGGTTTTGGACATGCTAGTTGTATCAAGTCTGTGAGGAGTTCCAGTTGAAGAGGAGATCCTGTCTCTAAAAATTAAGTTTGAAGGGCCGGGAGAGGTGACTCGGTTGTTAAGAGCGTGCACTGCTCTGGCAGAAGGTTTAATTTGAGTTTGGTTCCTAGCACCCATGTTGAGCAGCTCACAACAGCCTATAACTGCAGCTCCGGAGCGGGAGGGGGGGGTTCCAATGCCTCTAGGTCCCGTGGGTATGCACGTACCCACGCACAGACACAGACACACACAGGAGGTGGGGAGTGATAAGAAAGAAAGCTTTTTAAAAAATAAGTTGGAGAGCAATGAAGAAAGACACCCAATGATCATAGTGCAGGTGTACCTACCTACCTGTATACATGCACACACCCATACAGACATGTGCATACAGCATGAATGCAATGAACACACATGCACAGAGAGAGAGAGAGAGAGAGAGACAGACAGACAGACAGACAGACAGACAGACATCTTCTGCTCCTCTCATCCACCCAAGTGCTGTGAATGTAAAATAAAATGAGATTGCTTTGGTTTTATTCTCTGCTACAGCTACTATTGCTTCTAGAATAAACCGAGGCCCCTTGCAGACCCCTAAGCCAGTCTGATTATTCCCGGGCAGTTCTCACCGGTCAGGTTCCCCAGGCTGATTGTTTTGCCCATTACTCGTGGCGTTTCCAACAGAAAAGCTTCATTTCTCATTTCTTCCTGGAGGCCACAAGCTGCGCGTTGAGCCTGTCTTTACTGGCTAGAAGGTTTCCTAAGCCCAGTTGTATAGCAGCTTCAACTAGCTGGAAACAGGTTCGGGCAGCCTGCCAGTTCCTTCCCAGGGTTCCCTGAAATCATTCACTTCCTCGCAGCACATGCATCCTTGTGACTTCAGCGTCCCACTGTTCTCAATTGCCTTGGCCTGGGCTTGGGCTCCTCGTTCCCTGTCTTGGGCAGAGTTTAGAGAGCAGAGCTGCTGTAAGTGGACCACCGGATACCCCACTATCACTTAGTGTTCCTCCCTGTCCTAAAAACCTTCACTGAGAATATACCAGCTGTGGGCGAGGCCAGGGGCTGGGAGGGGTAATAATGTGTCCTCTTCTGAGGAATGGTATCTCACCATCAGTGAGCAGGTGATCCAAAATCATAGGTGAACAGGAACCTGTGTGTATGGGTGTTTGGATAGCATCTTAGTTACTTGATGTTGCTGTGAAGAGACACCATGATCAACTTATAGAAGAGTTTATTGGAGCTTACAGTTTCAGAAGGCCTGTGACCCTTGTGGCAGGGAGCATGGCAGCAGGCAGGCAGGCACAGTGGTGCCGGAGCAGTAGCTGAGAGCTTACATCCTGATCCACAAGCAGGAGGCAGAGAGAGAGAAAGTTAAATGGGAATGGCATGGGTGTTTGAAACCTCACATCCCACAACTGGTAATAACCTCCTTCCAATAAGGCCACACCTCATAATCCTTCCCAAACAGTTCAACTAACTAGGGACGGAGTATTGAAATAGATGAGCCTATGGAGGCCATTCTCATTCAAACAATCGCAGATAGGGAAACCTGGGTGAAGAAACCATGGAACACTTGACCCACAGGAAGGAGGAGGGGTGTATACACAGATAGCTTGCCCGGGATTCTTTCCCAGTGTATGAAGCCCTATCTGAAGCCATGTCCTGGCAAAGGTCCTCTTTTCATGAAGCCCCATATCAGCCACTGGATTCCTTATCTAAATTATGACAGTGCTTCCTATCTTTTCTCTAGGTCTCTCTGCCTGCTGGACCCTACTGTCCATACATCCTTGACCCTAGAGTCTTATCCAGCTCCAAACCACAGACCAAGCCTGCCTCAGTCAGTGACTGCCACACATTCTATAGTTTGAATATTCCTGTAGCTGCCCCCAGCCCTTTTCTCCTGGCAGCTTTGGTGCACCCCCAAACTTTCCCTAAGCCAAGGACCCAGCACTGATATATCCTTCCTCCCTCCCTAATCCCCACCCCTCTATTCCGGTTCCCCCCATTTTTGCAGGTACCCACCTTCTCCTCATTCTTTTCTTTTGAAACATTTAATTTGGAATCCAGACTGCCCTTGCCTATTAGTAAGTAGATATGCTTCAATTACAGAGTACCCACTCATTCATTCAGCAGGTACCCCTGGGTGTCCTGGTGCAGAGCTCTGAGACCCACAGACAAAGCTCAGGTCTGGGCTTCAAGATGCTGCAGTCCAAGAAACGAGACAGGCAGATAAGGGACAATCACAGAGTATGGCAGAAGCTCTGGCATATGAATACAGCAGTTCTAGGTGGGGCTGACGGACTGAGTTCTTCAAGGCAAATTCGGTAAGGATCAGCTGGACAATGCAGAAGGCCATTTGAGGCAGGAGATCTGTGTGTCTGTGTGCTACGGGAACCAGCAACAGCCAATCCAGGCAGCCTTGGGAGGCCTGACCACATGGGCTGTGGAACAGAGCTGTGTCCAGAGCAAGGCCAGAAGTGTGGGGAGGGGGGAGGGCAGGGTTGCAGAGCCAGGCTCTCATAAGCCGAGGGAGGGCTGTACAGGTTTGTACTTCAGAACCTCATCTGTAAAATGATGCAATCCCTGTGGTGCCTGCTCCGCTCCACCAGTCATGAGCACTACTTACCGAGAAGCCAGGCTCCACCTCTCCAGTCACGGCCAAGGGCCATTTCTCCCACCCAAGCCATCAGGGTGGCCTCTGCTCTGGGTGCCCATCCCTTGAAGTTCAGAAGAGGCAGGCATTCAAGCAAGCCCTGTGTTTTCGTTTCTAATTCTACACACTGTTTTTCTCTTCCTGACATTCTCATCTCCTGTTCATGGCCCAGGAAAGAATTTAGTAAATAAAATATAAGAGCTTCAGAGACTCTATCCAGGAGGCTGGGTGGGAGCTTGGTAAGGGATGTTACTCATCTCATAATCACCTTTTACAAATACAGTGACTGAGACAGGGGTTAGCCTAATTGACTTGACTTAGATTCACGTTCCAGCTGTAACAGAACCAACACAATTTTTTTTTTTTTAAATTCTAAGGTCACAGGCTGGAGAGATGGCTCATTGGTTAAAAGCACACACTGCTCTTCCAGAGGAAGAGCACCCAGCACCCACAGCATGTAATTTACAATCTCCTTCAACTCCAGCTCCTCTGGTTTCTGTAAACATCTGCATTCATGTGCACATACCGCACACATACACACACACACACCTTAAAATAATAAAAATAAATCTTTTTAGAAAATTTTAGACAGGCGTAGTGGTACACACCTTTCATCCCAGCACTTGGAAGGCTAAGGCAGGTGAATCTCTGTGAGTTTGAGACCAGCCTGGTCTATATAATGAGTTCCGGCACAGCCAAAGCTCCATAGTGAGACCTTGTCTCAGATAGATAGATAGATAGATAGATAGATAGATAGATAGATAGATAGATAGATAGATAGATAGATAAAATAAAGATAAAAAGTTCTAAGGTCCTGGGCTAGGGAGATGAGTCAGTAGGTAAAGTACTATGCATGAGTTCAATTACCCAGAACCCATGTGAAAAAGCTGGATATGGTGGTATGCACCTGTAATCCCAGCACTTGTGGCTTAAAATCGCTTAGAGACAGGTGGATCTCAGGGGCTATCCAGCCTAGCAGAAATACTGAGCAGCAGGTTCAGTGAGAGATACTGTCTCAAAATAGTAATGGGTGGTGGTAGTGGTGATGATGATGATGATGATGATGATGATGATGATGATGATGATATAAAAAAAACTGATAAAGATATCCTGATTTCAGCCTCTGGCCTCCACAGGCTCCCACATGGCTGAGCCACTTACACACATATAATACACAACACACACACACACACACACACACACACACACACACACACTTTCTAAAGTCTTTCATAGGCTTATAAAACCAAGACTGTCCACAAGGATACTCTGTGTTGCTTTTGGAGGCTCTGAAGGGAAATCCATGCTCTGGCTCTTTCCAACTTCTGGAAACTTCATCCATCTCTTAGCTGGTGACACCTCTGCCCTCTTTAGCGCCAGAAGCATGGCCTCTAGGCTTTCTTTCTCTAACTCTGGTCCCTGCCCCCTCTCACGAGGACACAATGCAGGTTACCCTCTGTCTCAAGATCCTCCACTGTCCAGATGTGGAAAGCCACAGGCTCAGGGTTCAGTGCTGCAGATATGGAACCATTATTCCTACCACACCTTTAGTGTTCCCGAGAGCTGCCCAGCCCCAGAGACCCATGAGCACCCGCTGTCCCTGACCCGCGGCTCTGTCCACGTTTGTTCTTTCAGAGGAGACAACGTTTGAAGCAGGAGTGAAGGTCCAGATCCACAGTCAGTCAGAGCCGCCTTTCATCCAAGAGCTGGGCTTTGGGGTGGCTCCGGGGTTCCAGACCTTCGTGGCCACACAAGAGCAGAGGGTAAGTTCCCCATGCTCCCCAGATCATGGGTCCTCAGGTTACTCCAGCTACCTCAGAAGCATGCAGAGGAGAAATGAGAAAATACTAAGGGAATGTCTTCTCCAGTGCTCCAGAACCTTCTGTTGACTCCCAAAGTCACCTGTGCAAGAAATGTAACTTACTTTTTTGTTTGACTGAATGGTTGAGTTTTCTTTTTCTTCCCCCAGAACATTCTACCACTCCTTTTGTTAGTTAGTTAGTTAGTTAGTTAGTTAGTTAGTTAGTTAGTTTTTGCCAGTGAATGTTAAAACAAACCGCTAAGCCAAGTTTGACAGTCTGATCATTTGTATTAAGGAAATTCATAGTAGCCAACAAGGGAGAAGGGATGGAGCAGCCGCTAGCCCTCCCTACCTAGGAAGAGTGAAGCCTCTTCTGTGGGCTTCCCGCCCACCCTTTGATGTAGCCCTGGGCAGAGCCCTACCCAGCCAGGGGGATCTGCAGAGAAGCAGGGCTGGCACCATTCATGTCGAAAGTGGTTTTTAACATCTCAGAAGGGAGAGCTCAGACTCTCAGTAGGGAGGCAGTCTCAAAGCCCAACAGCCAGAGACAAGCATGATTTTTCTCCAACTTCCTGGATGTTTGCTGTTTGCTTTGCCTGGGGCAAGAGGGAGTCCCCAGCCAGGTCACCCAAGACAGCTTACGGGTGAGACGGAGTAGTGTGTGGTGGGAGGCTCCTGCTGCCTTCTGTGAGAGAGGGAAAAATGGTTACAGAGCGTAAAGATGAAGCCACACCACTCAGCCCATCGTGCTATTAGAGTTCGACTCTGCTATTAGAGTGTTTCGCCTGGTGCCGATCACAGCTCTTTAGCCACATTATAAAGTGATACTCTGAATTAAAAACTGGCTTTAGATCTGTCAATAAACTAGCTAAGATTTTTAAGTTTCTGAGGAAGTGTTAGTACTGCCCACCTCATACATGCTCTATTCTGTGCACACGCCTGGTCAGTTGGTTTAGGCCAAGGTCAGCCTCCACTGCAGTGTGTGGCAGGGATGGTAGTTTTGGGTCAGGGGCATGGATTCTGGACTCAACAGCCCCCAGAGATGGAGATAAGTGGTGTGGGGGCAAAGAAAGACCCAAGATGGACAGCTGGGCCAAGGTTTGGGTTGAGGATGTGACAATCAAGAAGAGTGAAAATCTGGATTGTCCAGTATAGGCAGACAGACAGAAAGACAGACAGGCAGCCTGAGAGAGCCTGAAGCCTAAGCTCTTAGCCTCAGTGGGCTCCTGGATCCTGCCAGATGTAAACAGAGCCACATTTTCATCAGCAGTATTCTTCTATAATAGAGCCAAGAGTCCAGGGTAAATGGCCCTCAGCTTGGGTTTGTGCAGAGATCATTGGGAGTTAGAGAGTTGACGAGGAAAGGTGATGGAAAGGACTTGAGCAGAGTCAGAGACGTGAAAAACTGTAGAAACCCAAACCGGGTGTGGTCCATGTGAAATCCATCAGGGCATGCTCCCAGTGCTGACAGAAGTGGGGTTCCTCTCCCCAAAAAGAGCCTGGGAGACTGGTCCCCATCCATCCTCTGGGGTACATAAACTGAAAGGTTTGTTCTTTTGACAGCACTTTGCCTTCTTCAGAGTGACCCCTTCAAGGGGATGGGGGGAGGGCTAGAGCTGCCCTGAGGATATAGCCATGACCTGTCAGAAACTGGGTCAGTGTTAGTTCGAGCCTTACAGAGGTCGAGATGGAGAGCCAGTGAAGAGGCTGGGATGTGGGCAAGGAGAGCTCTCGCAGCATTCCTTTGTATGGGGGGAGCAAGACCACAAGGCTTTAAAGAGCCAAGCATGGGTTAGACCAATAGATGTGCCGGGGAGTTCTTGGATGCTGAAGAGGATGATTGTGACTTGTCCAAAGCGAATCTGATGTTGTGGTCTGCTGGATGTACCTACCAAGACAGCCCTCTGGGGTCTACCTTGCTCATGTGCAGAGCAAGTGTGCTGTGCTCCTCAGCAGGTGAGCCATAACTTCTTTCTCCACTAGCAAAGGTTGGAGAGGAGAGCGTGCGTGCGCGCATGCATGGGTGGAGGCTGTTCTTCAGCAGACTGAGAGACATGGTTAGGCTTCCTCTGCTCATTTCTTCCAGAGACATGGAAGAAAATTCTAGGCTGGGTGGGAAGTTGGAGCAGATGATGCCTAAGAAGCTTAAGTCAGTGTTTCTCTTGCCAAGACGAGACAGAGGGGCTCCCCATGGTGAGCAGGATGAAGAGAAACCTATTTGCAGCGTCCAAGGGCAGAGCGGCTGTTTGTGCTGCAGAGTACTGATGGCGAGTCAGCCTCATTCATTTCCGTATTTCTCTGCTTATTATAACTAATAACAAGATATTTGTTAAACATTTTACAGTCTTCAATGCATTTCCGCATCATCTCGTTTCATCATTTCATTCATATTAATAGAGAAATACAAAAACACATCCCAGAGCTAAATCTAATAATACATTATGTTTACATGTATAGAAAAGAGCATATTCACAGGAAATAAGACTTGAAGGAAATAAGCCAAAATACCCACAGTGGGGCAATTATGAATGATTCATTTTCTTTTCCAGCTTTTCGTGTCTTTTATAACGTGGCTTTGTTTTATTTATTTGTTCAGCAAATATTTGTTGAGCAGCTACTGGGGAGGAGGGAGCAGCAGGGGGAGGGGTAATGTGCCAAAAATACAGACCCAGTTTCTGCTCCCCTAGAAGCTACAGGTGGGTGTTGGTTTTAACAAAGGGGGGAAGAAATCCTGTCAGGCCAAGTATAGCTTGGTGATTGACCCTCAGCTGTACATCTTTGTTCTACCAAAGGGACCCTGGTGCTCAAACATTGAATGTCATAGACGGCATGATTCTTTTCTCATTTTCTCATTTCAAAATGAGCTTTTCTCATTTTGTCATTGACAAAACGGGAGGTTCATTTGGGGAATTAATTGGGTCTCCCATGACAACGGGAAGTGATCCTCTTTCTTGATAAGTACTTACTCTGTGGCTCATCGGGGAAATATGGTGGCTGTGTTGCCCTCAATCCAAGATGCTGTTACCTTAACCCAAAGTGCCAGGAAACCTTGCAAGTAGGCCAGAGGTGACAAGACAGTGGAACAGAAAGCCCATTCCTGGAAGGTCAGTATGATTCACACGAGGAAAATTGACTCCAGAGTAGGGGCCTTTAAATGGCTCTTGTGACTGGGAGGAACCAGTGCTCAGAGTCGGAAAGTCCTCTCATATAGTAAAAATCCTCCCACCCACACATAACTACACACATGCTTTAGTATTTATTTATTTATATTGTAATCACAAAAGAGCATGCTCTTTGGCTAAATGCCGAAGCAAAGATTGCTTTTCTAAATGTGCATTTGCCTTAAACCCAATTAAACTAAGGTATGTCCCTACCTGAAAAATGCTCCCTTGGGTAGCTGGCGGGGAGGGCCTGTAATAACTATCCCAGAGCCTCTACCACCAGAGACAGGCAATGGGGTTCTATCCTGGGAGCAGATATACAACTCTGGTGACTGAGTAAGCCCATGTGAAAGTACCATGCTATCAAACCATGTCCAGCGCTGGCCTCACAGGCAGACACCCTGACAACAACTTTAGGCCGTGGCTAATTCTGGTGTGGTTGACAGTCAAGTTTTCCTATCAGAAAGCTCTCACCTTTCCTCTTTGCTTTAGTATTTAGCTATGTTTCCAGCATATGGAGGGAAACCCTTTGAGGATCATAAGAAACATTATCCTCCTCCACCCCCAAAATAAAAAGACCCAGCTGCTGGGTGGGAGGTGCCTACCTCTGGCTGATGACAGCTCTTGTGGAGCCTCTGAATTCAACTTCCCGTGTGCCTTTCAAAAGAGAAGACTCATTTGTCAACCTGACAGCCAGCCCATGGTCTTAGTATCCGCTTCACCGTCCCCATTAGAAAGGGAGGCTTGGCCAGCTGTATTTCCCCTAGTCTCTCAAGGCGGTAGAGAGGATTTATTGTACATGTCCTCAGTGACTTCTAAACCACCGAAGCTGGAGCTGGATCCAGTTCCAGCCCCTGAGGCTTGGGAGAGTTCCAGAAGGGGAGACAGCTTGGTGTGTGGCTACTCCCCGTACATCCTCAGGGTACATTGTTTCCCACAAGTAGACTGAAAATAAGAATCAATTAAGCATCTACCAGCTTAGCTACTTAATCACTATTACCGTGCATCCCCCAAAGTAGAAATATCTCTGGATTTCCCCCTAGGTTTTCAACATTTTTTCTGTACGATATGAGCTTGTTTTTCTCAAGATGGAGTTAATGGCAGGGAATGAGGGAGGGGTGAGAAGGACCTCTTAAAGGAATTGTTGATGAGCTGTGATGAGCTAGGTACCATGTCCAGCTGTGTTGGAAGACTCCCCAAAAAGTCATATAAAATGTGCCCATTTATTATAGATAAATATCATTTTGTGTGTGTGCCCCTGCCTCAGCCCTGCCGTCTCTCCCTCTTATCTTCTTCCTGAAGAGTCTGCCATGCTTGTTTGGGCGGATTCTTTCACTTCCTTTTCAAGTCCAGTGCACCACAGAAACTTCCCTTCAGCAAGGTTGACCACGAAATCTTTGACTGAACCCCACCTTTGTTAATAAGGTTAATGCTCAGGATGTGTGTATGTGTGTGTGTGTGTGTGTGTGTGTGTGTGTGTGTGTGTGTGTGTGTGTGTGCTGCATGCATATGTACATGGGCACACTCGTGTTCACATGTAGAGGCCAGAGGTCCATGTTAGGCATCTTCCTCTCACTCTACACCTTATTATTTTTTGAGACAGGGTCTCTTACTGAATCTGGAGCTCACTGATTGGCTAGGCTGATGGGACAGTGGGCCCATAGGATCCTCCCAGTACTAGGATTACAAGCATCAGCTATAAAGTCCAGCTTTTTACATGGGTTCTGGGAATCTAAACTCTGGTTCTCATGCTTAAGCCGTCTCCCCAACCCCTCCTCCTCAGTCTTTGTCCCGTCTTGGT